TCAGGTTTGAGGTCAGGTTTGAGGTCAGGTTTGAGGTCAGGTTTGAGGTGCAGGTTTGAGGTGCAGGTTTGAGGTGCAGGTTTAATGTGCAGGTTTGAGGTGCAGGTTTGAGGTGCAGGTTTGAGGTGCAGGTTTGAGGTGCAGGTTTGAGGTCAGGTTTGAGGTCAGGTTTGAGGTCAGGTTTGAGGTGCAGGTTTGAGGTGCAGGTTTGAGGTGCAGGTTTGAGGTGCAGGTTTGACGTCAGGTTTGACGTCAGGTTTGACGTCAGGTTTGATGTCAGGTTTGAGGTCAGGTTTGAGGTCAGGTTTGAGGTCAGGTTTGAGGTGCAGGTTTGAGGTGCAGATTTGAGGTGCAGGTTTGAGGTGCAGGTTTGAGGTGCAGGTTTGAGGTGCAGGTTTGAGGTGCAGGTTTGAGGTGCAGGTGTGAGGTGCAGGTTTGAGGTGCAGGTTTGAGGTGCAGGTTTGAGGTGCAGGTTTGAGGTGCAGGTTTGAGGTGCAGGTTTGAGGTGCAGGTTTGAGGTGCAGGTTTGACGTCAGGTTTGAGGTGCAGGTTTGAGGTGCAGGTGTGAGGTGCAGGTTTGAGGTGCAGGTTTGAGGTGCAGGTTTGAGGTGCAGGTTTGAGGTGCAGGTTTGAGGTGCAGGTTTGAGGTGCAGGTTTGACGTCAGGTTTGAGGTCAGGTTTGACGTCAGGTTTGATGTCAGGTTTGAGGTCAGGTTTGAGGTGCAGGTTTGAGGTGCAGGTTTGAGGTGCAGGTTTGAGGTACAGGTTTGAGGTGCAGGTTTGAGGTGCAGGTTTGACGTCAGGTTTGAGGTGCAGGTTCGAGGTGCAGGTGTGAGGTGCAGGTTTGAGGTGCAGGTTTGAGGTGCAGGTTTGAGGTGCAGGTTTGAGGTGCAGGTTTGAGGTGCATGTTTGAGGTGCAGGTTTGAGGTCAGGTTTGAGGTCAGGTTTGAGGTCAGGTTTGAGGTCAGGTTTGAGGTGCAGGTTTGAGGTGCAGGTTTGAGGTGCAGGTTTGAGGTGCAGGTTTGAGGTGCAGGTTTGAGGTGCAGGTTTGAGTTGCATGTTTGAGGTGCAGGTTTGAGGTCAGGTTTGAGGTCAGGTTTGAGGTCAGGTTTGAGGTCAGGTTTGAGGTGCAGGTTTGAGGTGCAGGTTTGAGGTGCAGGTTTGATGTGCAGGTTTGAGGTGCAGGTTTGAGGTCAGGTTTGAGGTGCAGGTTTAAGGTCAGGTTTGAGGTGCAGGTTTGAGGTGCAGGTTTGAGGTGCAGGTTTGAGGTGCAGGTTTGAGGTCAGGTTTGAGGTCAGGTTTGAGGTGCAGGTTTGAGGTGCAGGTTTGAGGTGCAGGTTTGAGGTGCAGGTTTGAGGTGCCGGTTTGAGGTGCAGGTTTGAGGTGCAGGTTTGAGGTGCCGGTTTGAGGTGCAGGTTTGAGGTCAGGTTTGAGGTCAGGTTTGACTTCAGGTTTGACGTCAGGTTTGACTTCAGGTTTGAGGTGCAGGTTTGAGGTCAGGTTTGAGGTCAGGTTTGAGGTGCAGGTTTGAGGTGCAGGAGGTGCAGGTTTGAGGTGCAGGTTTGAGGTGCAAGTTTGAGGTGCAGGTTTGAGGTGCAGGTTTGAGGTGCAGGTTTGAGGTGCAGGTTTGAGGTGCAGGTTTGAGGTGCAGGTTTGAGGTGCAGGTTTGAGGTGCAGGTTTGAGGTGCAGGTTTGAGGTGCAGGTTTGAGGTGCAGGTATGAGGTGCAGGTTTGAGGTGCAGGTTTGAGGTGCAGGTTTGAGGTGCAGGTTTGAGGTACAGGTTTGAGGTCAGGTTTGAGGTGCAGGTTTGAGGTGCAGGTTTGAGGTGCAGGTTTGAGGGCAGGTTTGAGGTCAGGTTTGAGGTCAGGTTTGAGGTCAGGTTTGAGGGGCAGGTTTGAGGTGCAGGTTTAAGGTGCAGGTTTGACGTCAGGTTTGAGGTCAGGTTTGAGGTCAGGTTTGAGGGCAGGTTTGAGGTCAGGTTTGAGGTCAGGTCTGAGGTCAGGTTTGACGTCAGGTTTGACGTCAGGTTTGACGTCAGGTTTGAGGTCAGGTTTGACTTCAGGTTTGACGTCAGGTTTGACGTAAGGTTTGACGTCAGGTTTGAGGTGCAGGTTTGAGGTGCAGGTTTGAGGTCAGGTTTGAGGTGCAGGTTTGAGGTGCAGGTTTGACGTCAGGTTTGACGTCAGGTTTGAGGTCAGGTTTGACTTCAGGTTTGACGTCAGGTTTGACGTCAGGTTTGAGGTGCAGGTTTGAGGTGCAGGTTTGAGGTGCAGGTTTGAGGTGCAGGTTTGAGGTGCAGGTTTGAGGTGCAGGTTTGAGGTGCAGGTTTGAGGTGCAGGTTTGAGGTCATGTTTGAGGTCAGGTTTGAGGTGCAGGTTTGAGGTCAGGTTTGAGGTCAGGTTTGAGGTCAGGTTTGAGGTGCAGGTTTGACGTCAGGTTTGAGGTGCAGGTTTGAGGTGCAGGTTTGAGGTGCAGGTTTGAGGTGCAGGTTTGAGGTACAGGTTTGAGGTGCAGGTTTGAGGTGCAGGTTTGAGGTGCAGGTTTGAGGTGCAGGTTTGAGGTCAGGTTTGAGGTGCAGGTTTGAGGTACAGGTTTGAGGTGCAGGTTTGAGGTGCAGGTTTGAGGTGCAGGTTTGAGGTCAGGTTTGAGGTCAGGTTTGAGGTCAGGTTTGAGGTGCAGGTTTGAGGTGCAGGTTTGAGGTGCAGGTTTGAGGTGCAGGTTTGACGTCAGGTTTGACGTCAGGTTTGACGTCAGGTTTGATGTCAGGTTTGAGGTCAGGTTTGAGGTCAGGTTTGAGGTCAGGTTTGAGGTGCAGGTTTGAGGTGCAGATTTGAGGTGCAGGTTTGAGGTGCAGGTTTGAGGTGCAGGTTTGAGGTGCAGGTTTGAGGTGCAGGTTTGAGGTGCAGGTTTGAGGTGCAGGTGTGAGGTGCAGGTTTGAGGTGCAGGTTTGAGGTGCAGGTTTGAGGTGCAGGTTTGAGGTGCAGGTTTGAGGTGCAGGTTTGAGGTGCAGGTTTGAGGTGCAGGTTTGACGTCAGGTTTGAGGTGCAGGTTTGAGGTGCAGGTGTGAGGTGCAGGTTTGAGGTGCAGGTTTGAGGTGCAGGTTTGAGGTGCAGGTTTGAGGTGCAGGTTTGAGGTGCATGTTTGAGGTGCAGGTTTGAGGTCAGGTTTGAGGTCAGGTTTGAGGTCAGGTTTGAGGTCAGGTTTGAGGTGCAGGTTTGAGGTGCAGGTTTGAGGTGCAGGTTTGATGTGCAGGTTTGAGGTGCAGGTTTGAGGTCAGGTTTGAGGTGCAGGTTTAAGGTCAGGTTTGAGGTGCAGGTTTGAGGTGCAGGTTTGAGGTGCAGGTTTGAGGTGCAGGTTTGAGGTGCAGGTTTGACGTCAGGTTTGAGGTCAGGTTTGACGTCAGGTTTGATGTCAGGTTTGAGGTCAGGTTTGAGGTGCAGGTTTGAGGTGCAGGTTTGAGGTGCAGGTTTGAGGTACAGGTTTGAGGTGCAGGTTTGAGGTGCAGGTTTGACGTCAGGTTTGAGGTGCAGGTTCGAGGTGCAGGTGTGAGGTGCAGGTTTGAGGTGCAGGTTTGAGGTGCAGGTTTGAGGTGCAGGTTTGACTTCAGGTTTGACGTCAGGTTTGACTTCAGGTTAGAGGTGCAGGTTTGAGGTCAGGTTTGAGGTCAGGTTTGAGGTGCAGGTTTGAGGTGCAGGAGGTGCAGGTTTGAGGTGCAGGTTTGAGGTGCAGGTTTGAGGTGCAGGTTTGAGGTGCAGGTTTGAGGTGCATGTTTGAGGTGCAGGTTTGACGTCAGGTTTGAGGTCAGGTTTGAGGTCAGGTTTGAGGTCAGGTTTGAGGTGCAGGTTTGAGGTGCAGGTTTGAGGTGCAGGTTTGATGTGCAGGTTTGAGGTGCAGGTTTGAGGTCAGGTTTGAGGTGCAGGTTTAAGGTCAGGTTTGAGGTGCAGGTTTGAGGTGCAGGTTTGAGGTGCAGGTTTGAGGTGCAGGTTTGAGGTGCAGGTTTGATGTGCAGGTTTGAGGTGCAGGTTTGAGGTCAGGTTTGAGGTGCAGGTTTAAGGTCAGGTTTGAGGTGCAGGTTTGAGGTGCAGGTTTGACATGCAGGTTTGAGGTGCAGGTTTGAGGTCAGGTTTGAGGTCAGGTTTGAGGTGCAGGTTTGAGGTGCAGGTTTGAGGTGCAGGTTTGAAGTGCCGGTTTGAGGTGCAGGTTTGAGGTGCAGGTTTGAGGTGCAGGTTTGAAGTGCCGGTTTGAGGTGCAGGTTTGAGGTGCCGGTTTGAGGTGCAGGTTGACCTCAGGTTTGAGGTCAGGTTTGACTTCAGGTTTGACGTCAGGTTTGACTTCAGGTTTGAGGTGCAGGTTTGAGGTCAGGTTTGAGGTCAGGTTTGAGGTGCAGGTTTGAGGTGCAGGTTTGAGGTGCAGGTTTGAGGTGAGGTTTGAGGTGCAGGTTTGAGGTGCAGGTTTGAGGTGCAGGTTTGAGGTGCAGGTTTGAGGTGCAGGTCTTGACGTCAGGTTTGACGTCAGGTTTGAGGTCAGGTTTGAGGTCAGGTTTGAGGTCAGGTTTGAGGTCAGGTTTGACGTCAGGTTTGACGTCAGGTTTGACGTCAGGTTTGACTTCAGGTTTGACGTCAGGTTTGAGGTCAGGTTTGACGTCAGGTTTGATGTCAGGTTTGGCCACTTAGAGTCCTCACTTAGCTCCCCCACTTAGCTCCCCCACTTAGCGCCATCACTTAGCGCCCCCAATTAGCACCATCACTTAGCGCCCCCACTGATGGAGAGGAATTGCCAGGGACGGGGAGGATCAAAGAGGTTTAGACAGTTGAGACGTCTCTAAACTCAACTTTAACAGAAAGTGGGGGATCCGGATTCCTCTATTTCCATCCCCCGCCTCCCCGCCCGCACCCCTCCCTCTCTCACCTCATAGATCCAGGGCACCACCTGCCTTTGAGGTGCCTGAGAAAAAAACCCTTCTCCCCACTCTTCCCCCCTCTCCGCCTTTCCCCCTCACCTCGTGGATCCAGGGCGCCACCTGGCGGTGCACCTCGTCCACCAGTGCCCCTCGCACCACCCGCAGTGATGCCTGGAGGGGCAGGGGCGGGGAGGGATGAAGCAAAGAGAAGAGAAGTGACGAGAGAGCAGAGATGCGATCGTTGAGGTGCTTGCGGCGCGGCGGCCATACATGCCCACGTGGCGATGCACCTCGTCCACTAGCGCGCCCCGCACCACACGCACTGATGCCTGGAGAAGGGGAGAGAGGGGTAGAGAGAGCGTGGTGAGAGACACATGGTGTGGGCTCTGGGCTGGGAAGAAGTAAGGTTCAGAAAGAGCGGTGGGGGGAGGGGGGGTGGGGGAGGGAATGGAAGGAGAGAGCAGAGGGTGGAGGGCATGAGGGGGTGGAAATGGTGCAAGAGAGCAGGGGGACGAGAGAGCAGATGTGCAAGGCCATACCGCAGTGGGGTTGGGCGGGGTGATGGGCACGGGGACGGAGGAGAAGGGGCGGAAGATGTACGCCCCTGATGCCTCCCTGCTCGCCTTGCCGTCACTCGCATTGTACCACGCCCACTCCAACCCCACATCTGCCACTGCTGCAGCCCCCGCTGCTGCTGCTTCCCCTTCCTCCGCCTCTGCTTCCCCTCCACCCCGCGTCAGCAGCACAGCGCGGGTCATCTTGCCCCCTTGCGCCCTGGAGAAGGAGAGCCTCAGCGCACTGCTGCCACTGCTGCTGCTGCCCTCGCCCCGTTCCCCCTCCGCCCACCCACCAATCACTATCTCATCCTCCTCCTCCTCTTCAGCCTCCTGCATCACCTTCCCCTCTTCCTCCCCGCCCTCCACCACTCTCCCTTCCAAGTTACCCTCCTGCTCCGCACCCTCATCTCCTGCTTTCTCCTGCCCCATCCCCTCCTTAACTCCACCCTGATCTCTGCCTTCAAGATATTTATACAGCACGAAGTACGAGGCAATACCTAGGGGAGGCGCATCCGCCCAGAACACTAGTGACAGCGCCTCCGAGCCTGCACCACCAGGCTCGGCACTGGCTGCAGAACCAGGTTCGGCACTAGCTCCAGTGGCCGGCCCAGCGTTTGGTTCGGCATCAGGTCCGGCGTAGGCTTGGATGAGGAAGGAACGGGTGGAGGGGAGGAGGAGGGTGTCTGGAAGGACTTGGGAGGGGATGATTGCCCCGCTGGCATTCATAACTTCCACGTCAGCAGTTGACACCTGGACAAGATGGGGCACGCGGTAAGAGGTGGCGAAGGAGAGGGGGGAAAGAACAAGGGGAGAAGGAACGGTGAGGAATGGAGAGGAGAAGAGAAAGAAAGGGGAAAAACATGAGGAGAGGACAATGGAAGGGAGAGTGAGGATGGAGAAAGAGTTGCAACTATAATGGAGCTGGTGAGAGACTGATGCAAGGTGAGACGAGTGGAGGCAGTGGTGAGAGGCAATGGGCAAAGAGGGTCTAGGAGGGTAAGGGTGGCTCACAGGAAATCGGACGACCTCCTTGCGCGCCCATGCCAGTGGATTGTACACTGCTACGACCTGATGCATGCATGCAGCACAGCACAGCACAGCACAGCGCAGCACAGCACAGCACAGCACAGCACAGCACAGCACAGCACAGCACAGCACAGCACAGCACAGCACAGCACAGCACAGCACGAGGCAGTGGAATGGATTACACAGCAGCATCATGATGCAACAACATGCATCACACAGCATTAGAATGGATTATAGAGCAAGGCCCCGGAGGAGGGCGTTGCAAGAAGAGGCATGAGCACAGCAATGTGTAGATATGACAGCAACGCACACATGAAATGGACACTCACGAGAACTTTTCCGTCCTGAAGATCCGTTTGTGAAGGCGGGCAGAACGAAATGTTTGCGAGCGGGCACTGGGGCAGGAGAGAGGGTGAAGAGCAGTGTGCAGGGCAGAAGGGAGAAGCAAGCACGGCTATGTGCGGTTGCTGGTAACAGAACAGATTGATGAGTACCCAGGCAACTAAAAACGAGCAGAAAAGCAAAGGGGATGATGTTATGCACGATGTGTGAGTGTGAAGCCCAAAGGATGACTGCACTCACGAGCTCAAAGCTCAGCTTCAGACCCTGCCTGCTTGTGCCTGCTTGGTTCTCCAGTGCTGCTGCTACCGGTGATGCTTCTTCTTCTTCTTCTGCTGCTGCTGCTGCGCCCCGTTTCTTGAGCGCTCGCATGAGGGGCGAGGTGGGAGGGCGGGTGGGCCGGGAGCGTGGCATCTGCTGCAGGAGAGACTGGGACCGCCACATGTCAGCGTCTGACTGGCGGGAGATCATGTAGCGAATGGCCCGTGTGAGCAGCGAGGAGGCCTGAAGAGTCACAAGCAGGTGGGTATTGGGAACGGGCAGAAGATGGAGGTGGGGGATCAATGCACCAGCAAGGGCTGGAACTGCATACGCTCCCTGCCATACACAACCAAGGTGACGATGATTGATGTGGATGATAGACGGGGTAGAATCATTCTAGAACCACACAATGCCTCAGAGAGAAGATTAGATGATCCGTCCTGGCCCCCTGTGATCACCACAAGGGGCTCCGATGACAAGAAATTCACTCATCCCTGGCAGCATCTCTACACCTGCTATGACTCATCTGACAAGTATCATCTGCATGATGCATGCATGTGCCACGTGGCAAGCCTCAGAGAGAAGATTAGATGTTCTGTCCCGGCCCCCAGTGATCATCACAGGGGGCTCCGATGACAAGAAATTCACTCATCCCTGGCATCTTTCTCGCCCTGCTATTCATCTGAAAACGCACACGTGCCTTTCTAAAGGAGATATGGTGGCATAAACAACGGAGCTCACATGTGCCATGCACTCAGCACATACGGCGCATCTGATCAAGAAAGCTCTGCCAAACGCTGCATGTGCTGTGGGGCATGCCTCAGAGAGAAGATTAGATGCTCTGTCATGCCCCCCTGTGATCACCACAGGGGGCTCCGATGACAAGAAATTCACTCATCCCTGGCAGCAGCACCAGCTTTTCTTTCTAATACCGAGATTATTGAGTGCATCCTCTGATTCTTCCCATCCATCCACCATGCACCAATGCCGTGAGCCACATGCCACTCGGTTGGGAGGTGAGTGGAACAGACATATGCCACTGCAAAGGGGATGTGAAATGTTTCTGGCGGGTAAATGATGCGCCTCAGAGAGAAGATTAGATGCTCTGTCACGGCCCCCTGAGAGCATGAGCACACAGGAAGCTCCGATGACAAGAAATTCACTCATCCCTGGCAACACCACAAGTGCTTTGCAGCAACACCCTACTGACTCAACACAGCCCTTTCAACAGAGCCATGCGGAGCAGACAAACACAAGGCTTGGCTGCAGTGTGCGTGTACAGCTATCACCAGCAAGCAAGCCACACCGAGCACGGAGATTGAGGCGCCTCATTGAGGCGTCACACAAGAACAGAAACAAGGAAACGCGAGATGTGGATCTGGAGTGGCGGGTGGGCGGGATAGATGCCTCAGAGGGGATATAAGGGTCTGTCACGGCCCCTCATGAGGGCTCCGATGACAAGAAATTCACTCATCACTGGCTGTGGCAGCACGGCCCTTGCTACCGAGACAGGAATGCACATCACACTGACGTTTGGATACCATTCCATAGAAATGCATGAGCACATCACACCAAACTAAGAGACCAAGTTAATGCAGCGGGCGAGGATATATAACAGCAAAGCCCAGCAAAAGCACACGAGGCCCCCATCACACAGGCATTACCACGGAACCAGAGGAACAGGAACACGTATGGGGAAGGCAGCCTGGGGGCACACGATGCCTCAGAGAGAAGATTAGATGCTCTGTCATGCCCCCCCTGTGATCGCCACAGGGGGCTCCGATGACAAGAAATTCACTCATCCCTGGCAGCACCCACTTGACTTCACGCTTCCTTGCTTCCACTCAACAGCTCGACAGGGCCACAAAAGAGGACAGGAAAGCACAGACGGGATTCAAGACAGGCGTGCACGATTAGTTCTCCCCGCACTCACCTTCGCGGCCCCGCGGTAGAGTCGCAGCGTGTAGTCGGCGTTGTCGTGCTGCTTGGCCGTGCCGTGCCGCTCACATTTAAGGCGTGTCAAAAGCAGCCCAGTCCCCGCAACGCTCACCTTGACGGCCCCGCGGTAGAGCCTGATGGTGTAGTCGTCGTTGACGTGCTGCTTGGCCGTGCCGCTCACCGAGTCGTGGTGCTGCGCCACCGCCATCGCCTCCTCTAGATCCTCCACCCCCCACGCCTGCCCCTCCCCTCCCACACCCACCCCTTCCAATTCTCTCCCCAGCCTGCTTCGCCCCACCAAGGCCTCTACTTGCCTGGCAGCCTGGCACGCAGGAAGGTTGGGCGAGAGGGGAGGCGGAAGAGGGTCACGGCAAGAGGGAACAAAGTGGACGGAAAGGGAGATTTGCAGGACAAGTTGAGGGAGCGTTTGAGCTGCAAGCATTGAACTCGCAGCAACGGCATGCCGTATCAAGTGCAAGAACAAACGAGCCAGTCCAAGGAAAGGAGGAAACATGCAAGAGATGGTTGACGGGCGGCGGGGGCGTGCACGAGCGAGTGGGAGGGGCAGGGGCGGGGAGGGGAGGACAGAATGGGGCAGGGGCGGGATAGGGAGAGACGAGGGGGGGGCAAGGGCGGGCTGGGAAGGGCAGGGTAGGGCGGGGGCGGGGCGTACGAGGAGCAGCGCGCTGCAGTGGCGCACGTAGCGCTTGAAGGCGGGGCGGGAGGAGAAGTACCCCGTCCAGTAGCAGTGGGGGCAGTCCGCATAGCTGCATGCAAGGGGGGGCGGAGGATGGGAGCAGCACAGGGAAGGAGGGAGCGAAACAAATAGCTGAACATGTCAAAGAGAGATGAAGTGAAGAAGGCAAAGCGAAGTGGGGAGGGGTGGGGTAGGGGGGTGGGACTGAAAGATTCAAGACAATTACAGTTCATGGGTGAAGAGGACGGGGGCAAGGAGGGGAAGAGAAGCTCACGGGAAGAAGTCTCCCGTTTTGAGGGGCCAGGACTCGTTGGCGCGGTGCTTGGCGTCCACATAGATGGAGGGCGTGGAGTAGAATGCGTTCACACGCCCGTCGCGGTTGACGTAGTGGATGAGCTTGTCCATGTTGCGGAACCACGTCACCGCGTTGCTGTACGCAAAGTCGTCACCCATCGTCCACATGATGTGGTTTGTACGGTAGCTCTCTGCCTGGTAAGGTGGTGCATGGGTTTAGGGCATGGGGGTAGGGCATGGGGTGTGGTGCATGAGGTGTGGTGTATGGGGTGTGGTGCTGGAGTGTGGTGCATGGGGTATGGTGCATGGGAAGTGGTGTATGGGGTAAGGAGGGATGTGGCGTACGGGATGTGGTACGTGGGATGGCGTACGGGATGTGGTACGTGGGATGGCGTACGGGATGTGGTACGTGGGATGGCGTACGGGATGTGGTACGTGGGATGGCGTACGGGATGTGGTACGTGGGATGGCGTACGGGATGTGGTACGTGGGATGGCGTACGGGATGTGGTACGTGGGATGGCGTACGGGATGTGGTACGTGGGATGGCGTACGGGATGTGGTACGTGGGATGGCGTACGGGATGTGGTACGTGGGATGGCGTACGGGATGTGGTACGTGGGATGGCGTACGGGATGTGGTACGTGGGATGGCGTACGGGATGTGGTACGTGGGATGGCGTACGGGATGTGGTACGTGGGATGGCGTACGGGATGTGGTACGTGGGATGGCGTACGGGATGTGGTACGTGGGATGGCGTACGGGATGTGGTACGTGGGATGGCGTACGGGATGTGGTACGTGGGATGGCGTACGGGATGTGGTACGTGGGATGGCGTACGGGATGTGGTACGTGGGATGGCGTACGGGATGTGGTACGTGGGATGGCGTACGGGATGTGGTACGTGGGATGGCGTACGGGATGTGGTACGTGGGATGGCGTACGGGATGTGGTACGTGGGATGGCGTACGGGATGTGGTACGTGGGATGGCGTACGGGATGTGGTACGTGGGATGGCGTACGGGATGTGGTACGTGGGATGGCGTACGGGATGTGGTACGTGGGATGGCGTACGGGATGTGGTACGTGGGATGGCGTACGGGATGTGGTACGTGGCCCCACCCCACGGCCATTCCACCCCAAACCCAATCCCACCCCCAACCTTCCCCCCCCCCAATCCCAACCCCAAACCCAGTCCCAAACCCCCCACCTCGACCCACCCTCCCCCCCCTATCCTGCGTTCCCTCTCCCCACCTCACCTGTTTGAGCGCAGTTTCCACGAACTTGTCCACCCGCTCCTGCACATTGTAGTCATATAGCTCAGGGTCGTCCTGTTACAGGGGGGGAGTTTGAGGGGGGGAGTTTGAGGGGGGGAGTTTGAGGGGGGGAGTTTGAGGGGGGGGGGAGGAGAATGAACCACTACACGGACGAGATCAGAACGAGACGTCCCGCACACCCATGGGAGCGTAGACACAACCAGCATCACACTCCCAGGCTGCCACAGCCAGCAGCCAGCCCAGCGCAAGCTCTCTCGCGCGCATCTCACCTGCACGGGCGGGTCCCAGTTGTTGGTGTCGTAGCGGAACGAGTCGGGCGGCAGGTAGTGCACGTACAGCCGCCCGCCGAACACCTCCGCGCGCTCCTTAAGCGTGTCGGACGCGCGCCACACGAACTCCGCCGTGCGCGCGCGGTACCGCGCCTCGCTGTCCTCGTAGTCCGCGCGCGCGAAGAACACCGCGTCAAACCCGCCCTGTTGGGGGGAAAGCGGGCAGGGGAGAGGAGTAAAGGGCGAGGTGAAAGAGTGGAACAGTGAACTGGTGGAACAGTGCTGTCCTCGTAGTCTGCTCTGCGCGTGCGCAGAACACCGGGCTGGCCTGTTGGGGGTAGGGGGAGGCGCGTCGGGAGGGGTAATCGTTTCCCCTCGAGTCATGCTGCACCAAGCAGTAACCAGGAAAACCTAGAAGCGCCCAGCAGAACCCAGCAGCACCGAGCAGCACGGACCATTGCGGAACCCACCATGGCGGAGATGAGGTAGCCCTGCACGGCGGAGTGGCCGAAGGGGTCGATCTGCCAGGCGACGCGCGGCACCTGGCCGAACTGGCGGCGGATGAGGCGCAGCCCGAGCGACATCTGGTGCACCATGTCCGTGTAGTGCGTCGCCGCCTCGTCGTGCATGCACCACCCGCCGTTGCTATGGGAGGGGAGGAGGGTGTGTGGGGAGAGGAGAGGATGAGGCGCAGGCCGAGGGACATCTGATGCACCATGTCCGTGTAGTGCGTCGCCGCCTCGTCGTGCACGCACCACCCGCCGTTGCTGCGCGAACAGGGCACGTGGGGGCGCACGGAATGTCACGAATTTAACGGTCTGGTGTCAATCTGGACGGCAACTCCTTCAATTTTAACGACAGCAGACAGAAATGCTTCTCAAATCGCTGACATACGCCATTGCTGAAATGACCGCATTCATCCTCCCCCAACATCACCGTCACCAGACCACATCTTACATCCCTTCACGGCATATCCCCTGCCCCCGTAATAGAGCTCCGACATTCCCTTCAAGACTTACGTGAACTCCAGTTGACCGTTCTTGACCAATCGCCTGACGACACGTTGCACGTCCTTGGATTGCCGACGCCACCAGCGCTGGAAAAAGGCCTGCTCCACCTGAATGAACTTCCTGTTGGGGTCCTCGCTCAGCTGCTCCACCACTGTATCGAGGATGTACTGTACCGCAGCAACCTGAAACAGATCAACGGATCGTTGTCATAAATGTACATTAGCATCTGGTGATTAATCCGATTCCTCTTGAATTCGCCTGAAAGCCCGAGAAAGAAACAATCATAAATCAAGATAACAATCAGATTTACAAAATTTCGCGTGCACGGATGTCCACGTCAAATCACCTGAATGGAGTTGTTCGACCCGATGTAGTACTGATCGACGGTTTTAAGCCATCCCACGTCATCATGCGAATGCGCTACGAGGTGCACGTTAAGCTTCCCCTCCACGGGGCCGGCCCGCGTGTTGTACCTCCCAGGCCTCCCCCCGCCTTTGCCATGACCATGATCACGATGATCGTCATCGTGGTGATGCTGATGGTGGGGGTGATGGTGGTGGTGATGGTGGTGACGTCTCTCACGGAGCTCATGACCAGCACTAGCGGCCGTGATACAAGAGTTTCCGATCAAAGCTGCTATTATGAGGGATGCTAAAAGGAAATGCGACCGCAAAGCGGATCTTGAAAACTGCTCCATATGGCCAACAACGACGAAGCGCCTGAACACTGAATCTACCAATCTCTTGGCTTTTCGTCCAGATCCACGAGGGACCAGCAAGTACCCGCGACTGACAGATTCCGGCGTACGAAAAACAGCACTGAGAACAAGACGTTCTCAGCTGCTGAGAACACCAAAATGGCAAGACAAAAACGCGAGCAGGAGAACTAGGAAGATCACTCTGGTTGAAAGAATGTGAAGCTGAGCGACTTCATTGCGGGTTGCCTTCAGCTCCAGACGCAAGGCGGGGAAAGCCTTTTGCTTGACAGGGGCGGGATGGAAATCGGGGTGAAGGGGATTGCTATGGCCATGTCAGCTCGCCCAGCCCAGATTGGGCGGAGTCCACGTGGTCACGGCCTGGCCAATTGCCAACACTAAATGACGACGATTCTGCGAACATATTTCGATACATTTCCAGCACAAATTGTACTCACAACCTGCAAGAAAGTAAATATTATAATTTTTAAACACACATTGTGTTTTTTTAAATTGTGTATTGTGAAAGCGAAGCTGCTTGTACTGCACAATTGGCATCGTCGAAGCGTGCTAAACGCCCTTCAACTACAAAAACCGTGGGTTGGAGCTCATTTCCCTCCACCCACGTTTCTCTATTTCAAACGGCTCACTCAACATTTCCGCTCACGTAGTCTTTCTCTCCTTCCAAGCTGGCTAGAACAAAATCGCTTCCTAGAGGCGAGTCACCCTCGACTTTACTTAGCGACATTTTTAACTTCAATCGATCAACGATGGCACCGACGACGACACTTAACAACGGGAACTCGTCCAACCCCGCTTCCGACTCCGACCGTAACACCCGCGATTTTGCGGGCGACCGCCGTAACAAGCGCCGGGCAGAAGATGGACCGCCCGCCCCGACTGCAGTGGACGTGCTGCTGGGCGGGCTCGAGGTCAACAAAAGTGCCGACGCCCAGCAGCACCCTTCGGCCCCTGTGGCGCCAGTGGCGCCTGTGGCACCTGCGGCGCAAGTGGCGACGGCAGCTGGCGCGGCACACGCACCTGACGCCGAGCACACGCCAGCACCCGCGGCTGGACCGTCGCGTCAGCGCCAGAGGAGGCGGACTGCGGTCTCCTCGTCTGACGCGACGACCGCCCCTGCACTGACGCAGGCGTTGACCCCGGACCAGGTCAACGCGCTGCTATCCCTTCTACAGCAGCAGCCCGTCAGCGTTACAGCTGCGGAAACTGCACTACCCGCTGCATCTGCGTCGGCTAAAAAAGAAAACGCGAAAAAAGAAAAAGGCACGCGAGGAGCACGTACGAACCGGCATGACAACGACGCAGCGACAGCCGCTCCCCCTGCTCCGGCGGTCGACAACGACACCGACGACTCTGAAGATGAAGCTGGTGAGGCTCCAGTCAACACTGCTAATTTTATTGGCACGGAAAACCTCCCCCCCCTTCCTTCTTCTAACCTCACCTTTTCGGCGGCGACTTTCGTCAACGACTCTGTGCGAGAGCAAGCGGAGCTGCTGGAGGACTTGCGTGCGTACCTGCTGCACGCGGAATACAAGGCGCAGCGAGGCGACTCGGCGGGCGGACTCGAACTCATCTCACACGCGCTCAACCTCATCTCGGGGCGTTTCGAGGTGCTTCAAGTGGAGGACGCTTCCGACTTCCGCACGGCGAAACGCTTCAAACTGTACCAGCAGAAGAGCCTGCTGACCTCTCGACCCTTCAAGCAGGCGGTCGCGGATATGGCTGCAATGGACCGCGCGGCAAGTGCATACGCTCGTGTCACCCGCGGCGGAAACAACGTGTCAGAATATTATGCTCTAGCCTGTAGTGGGGTGCTCTATAGCGAGTACAACCCTTCTAGGGTTTGCTATTTGTATCCTCATTCTTGCTAGTGCAACCCCTTCTTCTTTGCCTAAACTGTTTCTTGCCTAGCTAGGGCTTTCCTAGCTATGGCGCCTTCTTCTACTGCTCATCTTCACATGGTATCAGAGCGATATGCTCCTGGCCTGTGGGCCCCACCTCACTGCTTCCGCTGCTACTGCTACTCCCTGTCCGCCGCGCGCCCCGTGGTGCGCGGCGTCGAAATTAGGGTTTTTCAGCCCGCCGTGCGCCCCGAGGCGCGCGGCGGTTTTCTGCCCGCCGTGCGCCCCGAGGCGCGCGGCGGTTTCTGCCCGCCGTGCGCCCCGAGGCGCGCGACGGGTTTCTGCCCCGTCACTCGGCGCGTCGCCCCCAGGAGGCGCTACGACGGGCGACGGGGACCCGCGCGTCGCCCCCCGACGCCCGTCGTGGCCTGCGCGCGGCCCGTACAGCCGGCGCGCGGCCCGTACGGGCTGCGCCAGGCCTGCGCGCGGCCCGTACGGGCTGCGCCAGGCCCGCGCGCGGCCCGTACGGGCTGCGCCAGGCCCGCGCGCGGCCCGTACGGGCTGCGCCAGGCCCGCGCGCGGCCCGTACGGGCTGCGCCAGGCCCGCGCGCGGCTCGGGCCGCCTGCGCGCGGTTCGGGAGGCTGTGCCAGGCCCGTGGGCGGCCCGTTCTTCGCTGCCCCTGTCCTCCCCGCTGTCCCCCGTGCTTCTGAAGGCGCCCCACCCCTCCTTCTGCCCGTTCTCCTGGATTAGGGTTTGGGGGTGGGGGGTATGGGGGTGCAGCTTCTGTGTACCGTTCCCTGCTCCTCCTCCTCCTCCGTCTCCCTGTGCTGCAGCTGCCGCTGAGGGGGGGTGGACCTGTTGGAGCCGTCGGAGTGGTACTAATGGGGGGTGAAGGGGGAGTGGAGCTAGGGGTGAAGCAGGGGGTGTGTGTCAGGGGGGGTGGTACTGTTTGGGGGAGGTTGAACGGAGGTTGCCGTCGTGTCGCCAGCAGCACCTGTAGTCCGGGGAGTTGCTCCGGTAGCCCAGTCGTAGCCACCTGTGCCAGTCGCCCGTGGGTCCGTTGCTCGTCTGCCGCTACTTTTAGCCGCGGGGCCAGTTACTCCAGTAGTCCAGAGCGCTGTTCCGGTAGCCGCTGTGCCAGTGTGCCTCCTGTTGCCCGTGTGTCTGCAGCTTCAGCCGTCGCCTCCTATCTCCTCTCCTCTCACTGTCCCTCCTCCTCCTCACTTGCCCGTTGTGACTACCACTAGCTTTGCTCATAATTGTGAACTTTAAACTATTGCTTCCTGAACTTGTGCTCAGAATGTGTGGTGACATTGTGATCCACCCTGAGCTTGTTCTGCTTTGCTTGCTCTGCTGATTACACCCCACTTTGGCTATGGGGGTGTGTCAGAATATTATGCTCTAGCCTGTAGTGGGGTGCTCTATAGCGAGTACAACCCTTCTAGGGTTTGCTATTTGTATCCTCATTCTTGCTAGTGCAACCCCTTCTTCTTTGCCTAAACTGTTTCTTGCCTAGCTAGGGCTTTCCTAGCTATGGCGCCTTCTTCCTACTGCTCATCTTCACACAACGGGCCGATGCCGTTCTTACCCAAGCGGGCCCCCCCGCCCACGGCCAATTGTCGTGGGTTTCGGGGCTCGTGCTTCCGCTGCGGCCAGCCGGGACATGTGGCAAGTGCCTGCCCTAGGAACGGGCATGGCGGCCAAGGACCCGCTCCGGTGGTGTAGGAGCGGGCCAAGGGATTAGGCGCCTTGGGCGCTAGGCACGGTGCACTCTTGAGTGCGGAAACCGTGGGCAGCCCTAGGGGTTTGCGATGGCAAGAGGCCAGCCCTAGTGAAGGGTAGTAATAGGCTTTGGGCCTAGGATAGGGAAGGGGAACAACAACCCCTCGGTCCCATGTATTTGGCCACCCGGTGGGGTGATGAATGCTAGGAAGCATTGCAATGTGTGTTGGTTGATTTAATAAAAAGTTCCTGATTTACTATTTTGCAAAGAGCCTCTAGACACACAGAGGAGGTGCAGAGCATGAGA